CTTTTCTTCTATACACTGCCTTAAATCCTAGCTGCCTACATCCCAGATTACATCCGCTGGCCTTCACCCGCTGGATTAGGTTATCTGGTTGGACGCCATCAACAGTGCAGTGCTGCAACGGCAGTGGAATACAAGCTGATACGAGAAGTGCCGCAACGCAGTACACACACTGACCCCAGACTGCAGCCTGCTGGAGTGAGGACAGGATGCTGCAGCTCTATTTCGTATCTCAAGCAGCATTATTGGCAGTAAGCCCCAGCTCCAAGAGTCCTCATTTAGCCCTCAGATTTTCCTTTCAGCAACGTCCCTGAGCTCTGAACAGCTTCCTATGCACCTTCTGCTTAGATGACAGTTTACAAAACCTTGATGCAATAATGTTCTAACATATATACACTAAGGACTTTTACAAAGTGTTCTCTTCCCTAGTCCACTGATACAGGAAAATCATTGGTAAACGTTATGAAACATCTGTCCTTACCTCTTATCAAATAAATGCTCTTAAGTACTATTCAGTGAGGAAAATACTACTGTGAATTATAAATTAAAGGAAATTTTGAACTGGAAGGGACACTTCAAATTATTACATCCAAAATATTACATTATTTCCAAGAACAGAAATCTCCAAACAGGGGAAAGGGTCAAGATTATCTTTGCAACTGCTTACAGTTACTGTTTTTATTTGTTACTTTATATTATTCTTCTGCAGTTGAGGCATATTCAGGTGTTAAATCACCAGAGAACATATCAGTATTTTGTAAAACGTTACATTAGAATTACTTACGTGAATGAACCCAGCATATTTTTTGTCTATTTCCACCAACTGCTGGTCAGCTTTATTTCTCATAGAGGGCTCTGGATCTGTGCCCATAGCAATTAAGTACGGCACACACTTGAAAAACAAACGGAATGGTTATTCAGAGTCATTGTACCTCCTCCTTCTCAGTCTTCATTGTTGTGCTATACTATTGTTCTTGTTATATTCTGATTACTGCAGCAACCAGAATACGAAGCTCTATGCAACTTACTACCTGACTGCCTTTTGCAAGCAAATAGTACAAAACAGACAACAGACCAGCATTATAAATTATAGAAGTTGTGTGAGCTTTCAGGTAGTATTTCATTTTCTCTCAAACTAAAAAGTCAATTTACACTACAGAAGATGCCATTTGGAAAAATAAAACCCACTGCTTGTGACTGAATATGCACAATGGCTGCAGTATAAAGAAAACAACTACAAAAAACGTTATGTAAGCAAAAATAGAGACGATAACTGAAGTTCTGACACAGACTGTAGAATTCGTTAGTGTCTGGAGGACACGGGGACTGAGGTGGAGGGAAGCTGACACATTTTCCAGGATAAAGAATCGAGTGAAGAAAACAACCTGGCATACACCTGAAACCTGTAACAGAAATATGCTCCAATGTACATCTGTACATGCTCTTTAGGCACTGGTTGGGCTTTTCCATCTTGATCCAAAAAGAGAAAATGTAGCACTTGGAACCTCACTGGCTGAACAACATAAAGCAGATGTCAAAATATGCTTTCTATACAAGAAATCTTGTATAGAAATACATACAGATTTCTATATAAATATAGAAATACATATATCTTTCTATATGCTTTGCTACAGAAAGGAATTACTATAACATAGCTGGAAGAGAAAAACTGGACATTTATGCAGCAAGTGTGAAACCCCCTGAAAATCTGAATAGCAAGAACACCCATCACAAAAACCTACCATACCTGAACAGGATGGATGAGACCCTGGTTTAACGTCAGTGCAATGACATTTAGAGCAAAGTGGCGTACACTGGACTGGGTATGAAAGAAAGCCTCAAGAACCTGTTTGAGATATAGCTGCATGATGGAACTACTCATCCCTGAGGAAATATCACCCATTTCTTTCAGGTCTTCCTGTTTTGCTACTTTTTTCCCTGTAAAAAGGACAAAAGCAACAGGACAGTCACCACAGTATAGTTATTTACTTTGCCATTACCTGATGCGTGCTGATCTCTAAGCTTTACAATACACACACGTTTCAGCTGCCTTAAAAGGGGTTTATCATCTCATGAAACACAGAACAGTCTGATGGTAAATATACATCAAAAACACTAGAGAGACAGAACTTTAATTAAAGTCTTGTTCCTTAACAAAGATTTTAAATATTCCTTATGCTGTATTTTTATTTTCGGTCTGGAAATTAACTTTAGAAGAGGTTTTGACAAAAAAGTATAGCTACCATGATTATGGCGGCAATGCATTCTGGATGGCTCCCAGAATTTATGCATCTTGACAGTAAATAATAAGCCTATTATACATCTATATATCTATGCACAAGATAGTTTAGGTACAATATTACTGATCTGATAACAACCTTAAGTGACTGAGTTCACACGTATAGTAACTGTAAGCAAAAAAGTTACGCAAGCCTCATCAGCACTGGACCCAACACTTACAGTCTCTGTCTGCCTGCTGCATACGCGTATCTTCCTCCTGCAAGTAGGTCTGCAGGTTCTTTAACACCTGGATTTTTAGGTTTACTGAACAGTTCTTATCTGAAAGGATGCTGTTGTACAGAGTCTTCACTTCCTGTTCAAACATTAAACTTGGGTGTTGTATAAATGCAAATCCTAAGGGTGTGAAAAAAGAGGAAATACTCCATGTTATTATCATCTAGAAACTGTATTTCTGCTATTTAAGTCTTCAAAATAGCTGTATGAAATTTATCTCTTTCCCACAGTATCGGTTTTTTTAGTCCAAACAGTACTGCTTTTCTGCAGGGACAGAATCCATAGGTTGTAAGGAGTGCTGCTGGCCATGACTCTGAGGGATAAGGGTGGGGTGTCGCAGCAGGGCAGCTGCACTGTTACCCAGGTCGGGGAGCATGTCCAGCGTGGTGACCTCTATCTGAATGATCAGGAGCTCCCACGAGAACAAGGGAGGAACATTACTAAAAATTACCCACTGTTTTTCTAATAAATTTGGAGAAAAACATCCTGCTGTAACTGTGAAGTTATTCATATGGAGGCAGAGCCAATGAAGATTCTGAATGAACACACAGAAAACATGAACATAAAAGAAGAATGGATGAAAACTGAAAAATAGCTGTAACAAAGGGAAGACTGCATCAAGTTTTTAAAACTGGCTCCATACACACAGAAAAGACAGTAAAGTCGGTAAAGGCTAAGACCAGGGCAAGATCTCAGTGTGTTTAAGATCTCACTTCATTCTCCAAACAAGAAGCAGATGACATGGAGGGGAAGGAGGAGAAGAAGAAAAAGCAATAATGATGTTCTCTGGACTATTGGTATAACTGTGCACTCTACACCAGTCTATATTGATGTTTATACCTTGACCACCCTAAGCAAGTCCAACCCATTTCAGGTTAATTGTAATGATGGAAGCACCAGCACGTATTTGTAACAACAACATAACACTTTTTTCCTTCATTCACTTAAAGGAGTCTAAAACACACCAGTATTCTCAGGGAAATTCTTTATTTCAATCCCCTGTTAAGTGTGGAAGAAATCCTACTTGGCGTAAGAATTTGTCATAGGAGATGAAAAAAAGCACCTTCTGTGTTCTTTTAAGGACTGACTTCACATCTCTGGGATTACCTTACACCACTTCTCTTCCTACCTTTGTTTTCACGATAAGAGTCTTAAGAGTGAGCACCGAACTCGGCTGAGAAAGACATTACCTGTCAGATACTTACAGGCTTAGCTAAATTTACTAACAAAATTTTATATCCTCAAGCTGCCTTGCACATCTGGAAGAGAAGCATAACTATAATAATTAAGATTACGGTTAAGCTTAATCCCTCAGCAGCAGTGACACATCGCAAAGTGAAACCTGTTGACTGTCCTTACTGAACTGACACACTAATAACTGCCAATAGGAAAGTACTCGCTCTTCACAATGCCTTCACTCTGTGTAAATGTTGAATTAGCTTGCTATTCCTTTTCACCTTAATTGTTGCACACAAACGCTGAATGGCTTTGGAAAATTTGCTCAATTACCGGCCTGTAAGGGTGGAACTTGCACTGTCTACCACACATCCAACAGCC